TATACAGATAGTGCTCGATCTCCGCTACAAGAATATATAATCAAATTAAATCAACGTTGTTTAGTTCAAATGGACGACTCAAAATACAAAAGTGGGGCGAGACTTATGACGCCCACTGTATTAACGACCATTTGCTAGTCTGCACGAAGTTATGATCATTGTACTGGATTTTCGACCTTTGACTTGACATGCATGGAAGAATCAAATTATTGAATTTTAACCTAAATTTTCTTCCACAGATAGATCTTGTAGTCATTAGAATGCTCTAAAAATTTCAGCTGAAAAATGTGTTTTCTTCTTGAAAAATCAAACTTTAGAGACACTCAATTTTCTGCCAATTCCTTGTGACGCATGTTCGTTTTCTTGGATATGTAGTATCTCAAGAAGGGTGTGGGTGTGGGTGCGTGTGAGTCCGAATTTCTCTTCCTCCACACCTCACATCCACATCCTACACCCACACCCTAATAAGAAAATAAACGATTCAACTGAGATGCATAAACTAAAATATTGCAAAAGAAAACGAAAGACCCCATTATCAAAAGACAGATCACTACAGTGAAGCGTATAAGATGTGAATATGGGAGTGTGGGATATGGGTTGGGTATAAGCGTGTATGTTGGATGTGGATGTCGATCGTCTCTTGGATCACATACACTTACACGCACACCTATATCCACATTGAAACACATATACAACGCATACCCACACCCTAGCATGCTTGTTTTCAATTTTGATAATTTAATGATAGTTAATAAATTTCAGTTTTATGGAAAATAAATGTGTGTGAGGGTTGAAAATTAAAACGAGCTACTTTGTTTATTCAGATGAAGGTTCCAAATATTTTTTTGATGGTAAAAGTCCACTGAAGTTTTATAATATTTGATTTGAGAAAAAAGAGAATTTTGAAAGTCTACGATTTAGAGATGTATGATCAATTGTAGTGTTCGTTTTCTAAGGGTAGACGAAGCATGTATTATATAATTGTTTATGTCAATATATAGCACTCAAAAATGTTTTTTTTTCAAGCTTTCTCATTCTTATTTTTTCCTTTTCGTTTTGATTTTGCAATGATTCATTATTTGCTTAAAAGTCTTTTTTGCCTTTCTTTCATCATTACAGTAGAAAAAAAGAATTGTTAAATCAACAACTCTGCTCTCGCATTTATATTATTGTGACAGACACGTTCTCGCATATACCGTAGGCGATATATTGAAAACTTGGACTCTTCTACTATAAAATGACAACAGTACTCCAACGTCTTTGTGATATTTGCAATAAGGCAACTGGTGTATATGACTGTCAAGAATGTCAACGAACATTCTGTAGAAAACATGTGGTTGAACACAATTTGGAACTATCAAAAGAAATGGATAACGTTGTTAACCATCATGACCTTCTTCGACAACAGCTTAGCGAACAAGAGACAGTCTCAAGTCAACATCCGTTAATGAAGGAAATTAACAACTGGGAGCAATTAAGTGTGGAGAAAATAAGAGAGATGGCTGAGAAAGCTCGACGCGATCTTAATCGGTTATTGACCGATCATAAAGAATCGATTACGAAAAAATTGGAAGAAATTTCTTGTCAATTAAAAACAACAAAAGAGGCCGATGATTATTCAGAGAAAGATTTAAGTGAATGGTTACAGATGCTGGAAAAACTCAAGAAACAGCTATTAACACCATCAAATGTGATATTACGGACAGTGAGTGATGAAATATGGTTGCAACCAATCGTAGTTATGGCAACTTCTCTTAATTCACGAGACAAATTCGACAAAGCAAGTAATAACATTAGAATATTGGAAAATGGTTTCGTTGCAGAAGACAATGGAACATATAGTCATGGTGAAGTTCGAGGTTTCAAGACATACTCAACAGGAACTTATAAAATTAATTCGAAAATTGAAGAGATGACGAGTAACAATTGGATGTTTTGGGGAATTATATGAGAAAGTACTGCACTGCAACAAAACTCTTACTCGTCAACATCAGCTAACGGATGGGCGAAGGCCTATAAACAAGTCTATTTGAATGGTGTAAACAATGAAGGGTAAAATAACTATCAGGGTGACATTGTTAAAAATGATATTCTTCATCTGATACTGAATTGCGATAGTCGAATTATCAAACTTGAAAACAAACGAACAAATCAAAAGAATTCTATTCCTATTGACTTAAATCGATGTCCATTCCCGTGGCAATTACATATTAATCTACACGACATTAACGATCGCATTCGCATATTGGAATAGAGGATGGTAGAGAACACTGGATCTTGTACTGATTTATCAGTTACTTTGTTCTGATAGCAAGTTAAATGGGAGGGTGTGAGTGTTTGTGACATGAATGCCGATGTCAGGTATAGGTACAGATAGGGTTACACCGACGCCGACATCCACACTCTAGAATCTTTTCTTTTAATGTTTTCCGATGTATGTGCATAGAATAAAAATGTCAGGAAAAATCAGATTTTAATCGATTATTTTTCGATTAATAACTAATTATAATGACACTATTATAATTCGACTAGCGAGAGCCCGTGCATACTGCACGGCTGATTTTTTTCCTGTGAAGTTACACTTCTGTCCTTTAGCTTTGATTGGGTAATAGACAAAAACCCAGTTCGCATTATCTATATATATAGATCGTATAGCCTGATACCCTTGTAGAGTCATACTC